TTTTGGAGATTACACTCTTACCTGAAATAGCATTGGCAAATATGTTCTCCCATGCAGTGGGCTTTTTTTGTTGTTTTGTTGATGGTTTCTTTTGCTGTAAAGAAGCTTTTTATTTTGATGTAGTCCTATTTGTTTATTTTCTCCTTAGTCTCCATTGCACTGGGAGCTATGTTTATAAAGATATTGCTACAACATATGTCTGCTATTTTGATGTCTACGGAGTCTTGTAGGATTTTTATGGTTTCCCGACTTATATTCAAGTTCTTTAGCCATTTTGAGTTTATTTTTTGTGTATGGTGTACATTGGTGATCTAGTTTCATTTTTTTTGCATGTATCTGTCCAAATTTCCCAGCACCATTTATTAAAGAAACCGTTTTGACTCCATTCTATGCTCTTGCCTCCTTTGTCAAATATTAATTGAGCATAATGGCTTGGGTCAATTTCTTGGTTCTCTGTTTGGTTCCATTGGTCTATATGTCTGTTCTTGTGCCAGTACCAGGCAGTTTTGAGAACTGTGGCTTTGTAATATAGATTGATATCTGGTAATGTGATCGCTCCAACTTTGTTCTTCTTTTTCAGGATTGCTGTGGCTATTCAGGGTCTTTTTTTATTCCAGATGAATTTTTGGAGAGTTTGTTTTAGATCTTTGAAATATGCCATTGGTATTTTAATGGAGATTACATTGAATCTGTAGATTGCTTTGGGTAGTATGGACATTTTAATGATGTTGATTCTACCAATCCATGAACATGCTAAGTTCTTCCATTTGTTTATGTCTTCCTCTATCTCTTTTTTCAATGTCCTGTAGTTTTCTGAGTACAGGTCTTTTACTTCCTTAGTTAAGTTTATTCTTAGGTATCTTAATTTTTTTGGTGCAATGGTAAATGGGATTTTTTTGTTTCTCTTTCCGTGAGGTCATTATTGGCGTATAAAAAGGCCATAGATTTCTGAGTGGTAATTTTGTATCCTGCTACATTGCCAAATTCATTTATTAAGTCTAGTAGTTTCTTGTTGGAGTCTTTGGGGTTTTCTATGTATAGTAGCATGTCATCTGTGATTTAAGGACAGTTTTACATCTTTTTTTCCAATTTGGATGTCCTTTTTATTTCTTCTTCTTGTCTGATGACTATGGCTAGCACTTCCAGTACTATACTGAACAGGAGTGGTGAAAGTGGGCCTCGCTGCCTTGTTCCTGTTCTTAGGGGAAATGAGTTTAGTTGTTGCCTATTGAGTATGATGTTGGCTTGTAGGTTTGTCATATAATGCTTTTATTATGTTGAGGTATTATCCCTCTATTCCCATTTTTCTGAGGGTTTTTATTAAGAAAGGATGTTGGATTTTGTCAAATGCTATTTTTGCATCAATTGATATGACTATGTGATTTTTATCTCTCAATTTGTTTATGTGA